CACTGCTGATCTTCTCCACACATTTACTATTGAGCATAGTTACAACTTAACTCTACACATTTGCACCATTAAACCCCTAATTATTGCCCCCCAGAGCAAAACCAGCCCGCCAGATGCACGGAGTAGTACACCCGGACATCAGATTCCTTCACTCCCACAATGCCGGCTGCTGCATGGCCCCTTACCTATGGCACAACCAAGAACCACGAGCAGAGTCAATCCCAATCGTGTGGCTGTAAGAGGCATGATGGCTCCTTCCCTGACTCTGCACGTTCCCAGGTTCAACTGCTGAAGCTGAAGTTCATCTCAGACCACTGCTGAAATCCCAGTGTAAACATCTGCAGCGTGAGAGAGAGGAAGAGATCCCTCTCTGGGGCTCAGTTAAGAGTTAAAGCTCTCAGTGATCAGTTGGCTCCTGCAAAACCTCCTGGAGCGGGTGGCAGAGAAGCACACAGCTGCTCAAAAACAGCCCCTGTGGTACCGCATAATTCCTCCCCTGTTCCCAGGGTCGCCTTGCTTCCCTGGCACAATGTCCTGAATTGTGTAGGGTTAAACTGTCCCACACAACGCCTGCATTCACACACAGCCACACCACGGAAATACCCTGGGTCCCCATGCGACCGCAGTGACATCTGGGACCAGTGATCCAGAGGCTGCCCTCACCAGCAGAAATGGGTAACCAGCCATTGGAACAGGGAAAATGCTCTTGCTTGGAGGTTTGGTTTTGTTTTTTTCATTTTCCTCCCTCCCTTCTCTCATCCTTCCAATCCATTCATTCGACCAGGGCAAGTGTTAGGGAAAGACCAGGTCAGCAGCAGCACATAGACACTCCCAGCTCTGAAGCCAGCAGTCATTAATCCCCCCCCAGAGGGCTAAGCATTCTGCAAAAGAATTATTGTCATTATAAAGGGGCAGGTGGAGGTGAGGAAAGATCTTTCCCAAAGCTGTATGACCCTGGTCCACTTCTCCCAGGATACAAAGCACTTCAAAAGACCCCAGTCAAGCTGCTCTCTGGGGTGGAAGGTTACAGCTCTTCTTTCTGGGTTCCCCATTTCCAAATCTGCTTCTATATAAAACATACCACTGCAATAAAAATTAAGAGTATTGGGTAACGTTTCATGCTTGGCACAAGGAACAAGGACAATCACACTGACATTTAATAAAGTAAATACCTATGATTCCACATTATTTTGCACCAGCAGTGGAAAGTCCAGTTGCTCCCTTTGTCTCTTCTCCCAACACTTTGCTGAGTCCCGCATCCCAGTTTGGTGCAGAGCCCTGGGGAAATGCTGACATGTCTGAGCACGGTGGATACTCATTTGTGATCACTTGCTTCCAGGGGCATTTATGTCTGTCCTAACATTATCCACATCTGCAAGTAGGATATTCAGTGCCTTCCGTTACAGGAGTTGGTATAAAACACGTTGTGGGGGTGCACAGCACAATGGCTACTGCATGCACACACTCCTCCCTGAGACATACCCAACATGTACATTCATAAAAAAACTGCTTTCAGCAGCTGCACTGCTTATTTCTAGCTGAAGCCATGGCAAAATAACTAAAAGCTCTGTGAACATCAGGTAAAACATGCCTCCGTGGCCCTGGGGAAACCATGCTGCACAGGGGGCTGCTCTGGGTGCTGGGGGGCTTCCCTTCTCACCATGTGTGGCACCCCTGCGGGTGCAGCAGCACCTTGTCCAACGGGAACCACGGCTGCTCCCAGCTCCTGTGGCAACTTGCATATTTGGAAAACAGCTTCCCAGAGTCAGAAAGCGTCAGCTCCAACACTGGAGCAATTCCCCCCCGACGTCCTCCCACCACCAGCCATCACTTGGCACCGCTGGCAGGATCTGTCCTGCTCCCCAGGCACCCCTCCAGCCCACAGCCCAGAGGTGCTGGCATTGCTCACTCTCTCTGGGCTCATTTCCAGGTATTCACTACATTGCTCCTACATTGTTCCTCACTCAACAAGGCACAAGGTGGGACCCTATGGACACTGTGCAGTTCAGCACCTTAACCCCAAGATCCCAGTGAGCCCCCCCACTGGGGCAGTTTGACACCAGGGAAACAGACAAAGGAATCTGCTCTCCACTAACAAAAATCCCACATTTTTATGAGCTGCTGCTTATCTGCTTAAAAATGCCCTATGCCCATGTCAGCCTTCTCATTTAACCATTTCTTCCCTTGTAATTTGAAGTTTGGTGAAAGGATGACCATCATGTTCTAAATACCTACATTTTCTGCTTTATTAACAGCGCAAGTCATGCATAATTCTAAGGAGAAGAAAAGTTCATAGAGTACTGGAGTTTTTCTGGATTATTTCACCAAGAAAACAAGCTGGGCAAACCAGAGCTGAGAAATTGCATGTCTCGCTGGGGATTTTAGCAGCTCCGCTCTCCCTTCATCCCCTGAAGAAGCAGTGTGAGACAACCAGGGATAGCAGGCACTTGGCAGACCTGTGCCTGCCCAACTCCATCCCTGCCCTGCTCTTCAGCCCTGGGAAACTGTTCTCAGTGTCAGTGCCTCAGTTGCCTCTGAGATTCAGCTGTATGATCAACCGACATTTTAATCACAGGTCTAACTATTCAGGAGCAACAGTTGTACAGCCAGACATCATCGGTCATTAATTTCCTTTTTTTTTTTTTTTTTATGAACTAGGAATTAGAAAATCTGGACTGTTTATTTTTCATTTAAAGGCACCAAACCAGCTCTTAAGTGCTGCTGTTCCAGGCTGGTGTGCACGCTGCCATACCATGGGCTGTGCCGGCACAGGGCAGAACTGAGCAGTCCTGTCTACACCTCCTGCAGTGCCAGAGATGAGCATCCACGGCAGGCAGCAGGCAGGCAGTAGGCACACAGTGCCAGAGAACAGCCAGGTGGAGCTTGGGCAGCGCCCATCCCAGGTGAGACCCCATTCCAGTGACTCCTAAGGACGAGACACAACCTCAAAGGGAAGAACTGGGGAGAAGTCGGAGTGGCAGACTGCACCTCAGTGATAGGGCTCAGCGAGCTGAGATGCTGGAAGCACTCAGTGCAGGACTGGAGAGGGCGGCAGGGCTCACGCAGGGCAGCCACGCACCGCAGCACACTTCTTCACACAGTGGAGGAGCACACAGGGGAGGCTGCTGGAGCTCTGCCTAATCTCAGAAGGAGCATCTGCATTTCAGGGCACTGGCACAAAGGCAGGGAACAAGTGGGTTAACTCAGCAAGGCATCTTCCTAACTGCACCATGCTTGGAAGCAGAGCCGTGAGGATCCTGAAATCCTCAAACAGGGACAAAAAAAGTTGTTCAAATCCCATAAACCTGTTTTTCTAAAGCAACAAGAACCAAGCAAGGTCCATCTCCCAGGCTTGGGCTCACTTTTGCAAACAACTCAGGGCAGTGCCTTTCTCAATATGGCCCTCATGCACAGAGTGGGCTCTTCAAGGAGCTCCGGGCTGCCAGGAGGCAGACCCTGGGCTCGTCCCTTTTTCGGCAGAGCACACTCTGCATTCTCAAACCGACCTTCGGGAGTCAATGAACAAACACAAATTCATGTGAAACAGGTTTCAAATATAGTGCAGCCACATATGACTGACTTCACACAGCTCCCCACACACATCAGCCCTTCACCCACCGTCGTTCACCTAAATCAGGCGTTACATTTTACAGGATGAAAACGCATCACTGCCAAACAAAAGTCTTACTACAAATCTGCATGTGATATCTCTTGTGCATCGATAGTGGTGCTCAGTCTGGGGCAAGATCTCCCTTTCCTGTAGGCCCCCACAAAACACGCTCTGCCTGAACAAGCTCTCTCCTATTCATGACCGCAGTTGCTATTCGAACGCATTCAACAAAATGCGCCTGTGTATCGGAGAAGGCAGGGAGCCCCGGTGCCGCCGGTGTCGCGATCTGCACAGTAATCTAGCCGCTGCGAGCAGCACGGCTCAGATATTTTCAGTTACAATGAAATTTTGCAAAATTAAAAAAAAAAAAAACAAACAAACGTAAAAAGCAAATAAAGGGGGGTGCCGGAGCTCCCTTCCTGGTGGGAAGCAAATGTTTTAGTGTCGAAACAGACACACGAGCTGGACAGAGCAGATGTCAAACAAAGCATTTACTGGCAAATTCATTAAGTCTGAACATCGAGTGCCAAATCCAACACTCCCACCGACACCGCACCGCCACTTACATAACCCCCTACCGCTGGGACCGGGGCCGGAATATCACCAGGGTATTACTGGGACCGGGGCACCGCCGGGATTGGGGCATCACCGGGACCAAGGCATAGGCAGGGTATCACCGGGACCGGGGTACCGCAGGGGCCGGGGCCAGCGCACCGGGCGGTGTCCTCCCCGCGCAGCACCGGCTGAGAGCCCCGCTCTCCCAGCTGCTCGGCTCTGGGAGCAACAATTCCCGCAGCCGCAGAGCCGGACCCCGCGTAGCCGCCCAGGCCCCGGGTGCTGAAAGCGGGGCTCGGGGTACCGCGGAGCACCCCGCTCCCTGCTCCGCAGCGGCGATTTGCAAGTCACTGCCTGGGGGAGGCCGGGGGAGCCGGGCGCATCCCTGCGCGCCCGCCCGCGGAGCCGCCCGCCCCGGCGGAGCCCCAGGAAGTTTGAGGATCGCCCCCAACCCTCGCTCCGCGGTCGCGGGCGGGCGGCAGCGCCGCTGCTAACAAGTGCGGCGGCCCCACGGCGCCCCGCGAGCGCGGAGGAGCCCCAGCGCAGCGGCGCCCATCGGCTCCTCGGCGGTGGGCGGCCCGTGCCTCCCGGGCCACCCGAAGCCCCCCGAGTGCTCTCCCCGAGCCACCGACACCCCGCAGGTTTTCCCCGTGAAACGCCAGTGTCTCATGGCAACGGCGCTGCCTCCGCTCTGCCTCCGCTCTGCCTCCGCCGGCTCTCGCGGCGCGCAGAGGGGCCCGGCCACCCCCGCGGCCGCGGGAGGTAAACCCCCTATACCCCACCGCTCCCGCCCCGGTGACAGTCGCGACAAGGTCACGCCGCGCCCCGGACTCACCATACACCCCTTGCCCGGAGCTGCCCTCCAGCAGAACCGTCAGCAGCCCCAGCAGCCCGATCGCTACATCCATCTTCACGTGAGCATCCACATATCCAGCCCGGCGGGGGGGTCGGAAGGGGGGATGCGGGGAGGGGGCAGCGCAGTGCCCGCCGGAGCCCCGCGCTCCGCTGCGGCCGAGCCGCGCACGCCCGCGCAGGCAGGGTGGCGGGGGCAGGCGGCGGGCACCGCTCCGGTCCTTCCTCCTCCGCCTCCTCCTGCGCAGCGAGAGGCGCGGGGCGAGCCCCCCGCTCACAGCGGCAGCCCCCTCAGGGCGCCGGCCGCCGCCGCCGCCGCCTCCCGGGGCCGCCGAGCGCCGCGCGGGGCCGCCGCAGCCGGCTGCGCCCCGCGGCCATCAGATGCCATCGCAGCGCCGCGGCCCCCGCATGGCGCGTGGGGCCCCCCGCAAGGCGCGGAGGTGGTGTCGGGGTGGAGGGGTGGGGAGGTAAAACGAAGCGCGGAAAGAGCGCGGCCAAGGGGCCGAGTCCTGCTCGTAAGCGACGGGAGATGCGCTCAGCGCGCGTGCGGAGCAGCGGCCGGGCCCATGGCGAGGGGCGGCGGGGCGGGCGGGCTTCCCTCCGCCGGGCGGCGGGGCAAGGGGAGCGCGGAGGGAGGGCGGCGATGTGCCGTCACGTTGAGCTCTGCGTGCCGGCAGCCTGCGCCGGGGAGCCGCAGCCCGGCGACGTCAAAGCTGCGTGGCTCGCTGCTACGCGCCTTCCTCCGCCTCCTCCTCCGCCGCCGCCTCCCGTGTCCCCCCCGGCTCCACCACCTCCGGCGGGCGCGCAGGGCCGCGGGCGGTGCCAAGGCGGGGCTCCGTGCAGCGCTCCGGGATGCGCTGCGCGATATGGTGACCCCCCACCTCCTCGGGATGCGCGGTGCGCCCCGTGCCCCAGCGCGGATCGGACGGTGAGGGGCGCCGATCGCCCGCGCTGGCTGCGCGCTCCGTCCCCAGCTGCGGTAGGGTCCGGACCGTCCGTGGCTGCCCGCGCACCACCCGCCAGCCCCGGGCTGCGTTCCTGTGTGGGGCTTCGTACCCCAGATCCACGTCTGCCCGGTTCCCCGTGCTGGAGCACCCCAGGGCTCAGACCCCCTCCCGCTGGTGGCATGCACTCGTGGGGTGCCGGAGCAGGGGGCAGCAGTGCTGCCTTCCCCAGCTTCCGTGACCGAACCCCCCGTGCTTGCTCTAGTTGAGCGTCCAGGGATTCCCATGTCCTGTCAGGAGAGGTGATGCAGAGATGGGACAAGCTGCTCTGTGGCTCTGGAAGGCAGCGATGCAATGCAGCACGCCCTAACTTGCAGCGCACTGCTGCATTTTCACCTGGTTATCCCCCACTTCTGTGATGTTTGGCCTCTATCAAGTATCTGAAATTCCTTCCTGGCTCCCAGCACATACCCAGCTCTGATGTTTGTACATTTTGGGGTCTCCTGGGACTTGTGCTATACAAAAGCAAACCAATGACCTGTTGAAAGTGACTGCCCCATCCTCTCCCCTTCTTGTTTGGTTCCTGCCAGAAGTGCACCAAAACCATGGGTCAGTTTCTTGAAGGAAACAGGGAGCTTTGGGGTCCATCGGTTGCAGAGCACGTCTGTGCACAGCCCAAGCTCTGCTGAACCCAGTGGGTGTTTCAGCCACAGGGAAGGCATAGTCCGTGCTCCCAACAAAAGTTTACTTCCTGCCATCCACCCTGTAGGGTGTTTGCAAGCATCAGGTGGCTTTTTTATTGAAGGGAAAAGTGCAAATATAGCAGGCACTGGCATATGTTTTTAACTGCTTGCTTAGCTTAATTTTAGCCAGCCCTCAAACTTCAAGGAGCTGTGTGGTAGGTTATCATTGGCTGCAATGATTTGGTCTATCAGAACATCAGTATTGATTAAAAGGCATTGGATTCCAAGGAAGTTACCTGCAGCACTTTCCTGTGGGAAGCAATGGCGGCATTAGTCCCTCACCTCATGATACAGGTCTGCAGCTGAGCATGTCATTCTATCCTGGGCATTAACTGACCCAAGTGAGCAATGCTGCTGCCTTGCTAGCAACACTGCTGTACTGCCTGATGCAAAATACTCCCAATGTAAGTAAGACTGACTGTACTCTTCTGCCCACAGAAACAAGGAACCATTGAAGCACACCGCAGTGGGCTGGTTTCCATTTCTCAGCACCAGAAAGATTTAATAGTGGGATGTAGCACCAAGGGCATGTTGTAGGCCCCTCTGTTGTATGAGGGAACAAGGTAAATAAAATCAAGCTAACTGCTTGAATAGCAAAAGTTCCAATGCTTCCCACACTCCATCAGCCATTTATTTCAGAAGCTCTTTTCTTAACTGCTTTTTCATTTCATCCCACACCAGACAGAAGCAAATTATTTTCTCTCTCACTGTTGGGAGCAAGTCTACAAATAACTGAGATTTAACTAAAGGAGACTATTAAGCAGCATTAAGACTGAGTAATTTGGTGGTGTCAGTGCGTGGTTCATGTTCTTGTCCCTCCTTATCAGCCACACTGGCTTGAGATTGCCAACATCCAACAAAACTAAGGCAAAGCTAAATAATTTAACTTGGTCTCATAATTCTGCTGAATTTCGGGAGTGCACATATCATGTGAAGCATGTTTAGAGTGTGAACAGATTATACATAATTAGAAAATCATCCTAGAATAAATATCTTAAAAAGGGGAAGGAAAGTATTTGTCAGGTGCCAAGTTCAAGCCTGGATCATTTATTGTTTAAGTTCCTGTAAAGACGTAGCAGGAATCCTCGTGGTGCCCAGACAGGAATTAAAAGACTCCATCAAAGCTAGATATAGCACTTACCAGCCTTTCTATTTTCATGGCAGTTCTCTGCTGGGCTGGGGAGGAGTTTGCTTCCCAGAGGGACAACCTTTGCACATGGAGATACAATGGGCAAATACACAGGAATGCCCAACAAGAGGTGTTTGCCAAGTGAATGGGAGCATTACCCTTATCCACTTCCAGTCTAGTTCCTGTGTGTGTTGTGTGGGAAAGGCTCAGCCAGCAGGAGCTGTATGGGAGAGTTGCACTTTGACCAACCATGACCAACTGTGCTCTGATGGAAGTGCGGGTGGAATGCCAGTCTTAACCATTATCAGTGGCACAAAAATTGGAGCATTTCTTGCTGTGAAAATGTTGCTCTTCTCCATAGCCAGGTACGAGCTGACTGTCGACTCTGCTTGTGCATTTGCAGTCTACAGTATTTTTGTTAAAGCTCCAGTTTCTGCATTTGCAGCATGATGGGAATTCCTCTATTTTTACATAATTCTTACTTTTCCCTCAGGCACACATGCACACTAAGCCTGTACCCTTCATAACAGCAGACAAACAAGTTAAGAGCACAAACACTAAATGCTCTCCTTTTGGACAGCGCAAGCTCTTCACAACTTTCTTAGCCTGTGGGTTTCAGCTGCCATACCAGTGAGGCTTCCCTTCTTCGAGTCGGATGCTGGAAATGAAGATTGCCACCGAAGGTCCATTTGAAGTGGTGGCTCAGGATACTCCAAAGATTTCAGCAGCATCTGCTTTGTGCCTTTTCACATTCTCTCGATAATATGTAGTTTGTTCTGAAGACTGAAACAGACTTATTTAACAATGTTTAGGGCCAAACCTCCAAAGGATGGGGTTTTTAGATGAATAACTAAGTGTGACAGACCCTTTACACACACCTGTTATCTTCACTGGTGCAGTTTTAAGTCTCAGGACTATTGTGAATTACATCAAGCTACCTATTTTTAGGCTAAGTTTGCTCTCCAGGACTGATGTGAATTGGGAACAATCCTGGCATCCAAAAATTTACACAGATGAAACAATTTGGACAGCTGCTGGGAGATACAGCAGTCTAAGGCCAAGTTAAATGTTATTATGTACTTGGGCTTACTCTCTCTGGTGGGTTTCTCATTTGTTCAGATCAAATGTACTCATTTTTGGTATCCGTGCACCCCAAGATAATGTCAGTTAATGGTCTGCATGATGCTTCATGGCTGAATTCTGTTTGGGTTATTGCTTTGGATCCAGAGGAATGGATGAAAAAAGGAACTCTGTGGTAAGTGCCATGGCCGCGACTGCAGCCCTCTTATCCTCCAGCCTTACCAAGAGGGACTCTAACCATGGGGCACTGACCAGTAAAATCTAGATAAAGGTCCATCTTCTCCAGGACTGTATCCCAAGCAACCAGGCAAAATACAGTTTTCCACTGATTTTCAGTAAAAGGCTTCATCACATAAGGAAGTGGATAGGAGCAAACTGATCTGCCAGTCTGAAGTCAAGCAGAAAGCAGGGACTCCTCTCCTCTTCCGGGTACCCTGATGGAGGTGACAGTAAGAAGTTATGGAACTCTCAGGGAGTGAGGTGGGGTGGATTTTTTCTCCAAACAAGCTGTCATTTCATGGTGAGTATACTTACAGTTTGGACTAGAGGGAAAATTTCCAAATGTCCATGGTGTAGGTCAGGAAGAGAAAAGCAGATCTGTAGGCATGCATTTGTCTGTCTCTTGTTGACTGAAGAGATCTCTCTGCACATGTGCAGCTTGTCTTACACCACCCTGAGGTGTCTTGTCAGAGCAGCTTCAGGTTTACCCCCCGGGACAGAGTTCAAATCCATGTAACACCCCTCTGGTCTTTCATTCCTTCTGTAATACATCGCTTGCTCTGTTTCAGTCTCAGAAATAAAGCCACGGAGACTGCAAATGAAACCATTAATTCCTGCCATGAGAACAGGGTTTTCCCATGTCCTCCAACTTTGACGTGCAGTTGAAGCTTTCATGTGCCTCAGGCTGTAAGGATATACAGGCACAAAAATAACATCTAAAACATGCATGAGCTTTCCTGGACTCAGTGAGACAGAGGATAGTAGAAAACACCTGCAGCAGTAATTCTATATAATTAAAATATGGTGGGTTTTGTGCATTTGTTTCCCAGATAATTCCATTTGCTGTATGCCCATAAGCTCTTCATTGTCTTGGTGAATAGAGGCAGGTCTCTGTTCAGGGCTTCAAGGCCAGCAGTCACTTCATCCAGAGAGAACTGCATGTTGGTGATGTGGGTACCCCAGTGAGATCCATGTTTGTATTTCTGGAGGTAGAGACAGCTTGAATGAATGTCTACATACATACCCACCGTGTGTGAGTAATAGGGTGGTAGACAGGG